AAACAACACGGCGTCCGTCCGTTCAAAACGCCCCCAACAACCCTCTAAACGGAAAGAACTGCCGACTGAATTCTAGTTCCAACCACGAGCATCTGCTGCGTGGTGCACGGGCGGGTGAGTCGTCTCCACATAACCCCCCACCCCACAAGTTTCTAACACGCTAAATAACGCCGCCACAAGCCACTCGCACGCACTAGCAACAGCAGCCAGGAGGTGACACTAATACATGCACATGGCGCGCACGATCTCGGTCGGTATGCCTTTGTTTCCCTTCCCCGAGAACACTTTCAAAGCAGCGACCATGCACTCGGCGGCAGTGCATTGATTCCCGGCTCCTTTGGCGAGCAGATCGGTGGAGGTATCGTAGTACACCTGGTTTCGCACCCTCTTCGCCAGGCAGTATCCGGGATCGCCGTCCAACTTGAGTTGCCTTTCGAGCACCGTCTTTGGGGCAACCAGGACATCGCAGAATAGAGGGTGGGGGGGGGGGGCGTGAGGAGGTAAATTGTTATGCGCGACAACGAAATATCTCGTATTATTGGTGCAAAATTTTGCAGGGCAGAGGCAGGAGATCTAAGATACGAGCACTCTCTTCAGGAACAAAATCAAAAGGGCCGCACACATAGTATGTACAGATGGAGACAAAAAAAGTACCACAGCAGTGCACACGCCCGAGGAGGTGAGAATGTACTCACAGGTTTGTACCTGGCCTTCCACAAGTTGTGCAGTATGATCGATAGCTATTATTAAAAAAACACTATGAACAGCAGCGTGCGCTTTATGCACTAAATTGTAGCCTTCCTATAACAGTATGTTTGCAAAATACCTTGCACCAGGTGCCTAGGCTGTCGTGTGCCCATGGATTGCAAAACAACACACGGATTCAGGGGGGGTGATATACTGCGTCATGGAGGCGGGTGCATGTTTTTTNGGGGGGGGGGGGGGGGGGGGGGGGGGGGGGGGGGGGGGGGGGGGGGGGGGGGGGGGGGGGGGGGGGGGGGGGGGGGGCGCGTGAGGATTGTTATGCGCGACAACGAAATATCTCGTACTATTTGTGCAACATTTTGCAGGGCAGAGGCAGGAGATCTAAAATACGAGCACTCTCTTCAGGAACAAAATCAAAAGGGCCGCACACATAGTATGTACAGATGGAGACAAAAAAAGTACCACAGCAGTGCACACGCCCGAGGAGGTGAGAATGTACTCACAGGTTTGTACCTGGCCTTCCACAAGTTGTGCAGCATGATCGATAACTATTAAAAAAAAACTATGAACAGCAGCGTGCGCTCGATGCACTAAATTGTAGCCTTCCTATAACAGTATGTTTGCAAAATACCTTGCACCAGGTGCCTAGGCTGTCGTGTGCCCATGGATTGCAAAACAACACACGGATTCAGGGGGTGTGATATACTGCGTCATGGAGGCGGGTGCATGTTTTTCTTATGTAGCACGTTGTCCCTTAACTCGTTTTGGAGACAGGGCAATACTAATGGAACTCTCCGGGAAGCTACTGGAACTCAAAGCTCTCTGCCGTAGTTCACGCTGCGCTTTGCTGCCTAACGAAGACGTCGGGCTGCATGGCCACTGCTGTACAGCTACTGCTGTGCCCAACTACTGCTGTAAACGGCATCGGCTAGACTAGTCTACACCTAGCGCTGCTGCAGCTGTGTGCATAACTGCAAGTCGGCGTTCCCAACCAGATGCGCCTGATGCTTCCCGCATGTCACGGCGGAAGCTGGGTCGTCCTTCCAAGTCACGAGGGGCAGGGAGTGGGGGCAGCCAGCTCCGATCGCCACGCTCCTTGCTCGCTCCTTGATGAAAGCCCGGACAGTCTCCGGGGATTCGATAGCATGCTTTCGAACGGCAGCAAGCTCCTCGTCATCGCTCACGCTGGGCGGGTCTCCCATCAAGCCCTCGATCTCTTCCCCCACCACCGGGTCGTCAAAGATTGGATCGGGTTCGCCCTCCGGCGCAGCACCGCGTGAGCGTGCGGTCATGGAGCCGGGCGGACTATTGCCACCCTCCATAACTCGCACTGGTCTGTGGTGTGGGTGCTTTGTTTCGGTCGCTTGGGTTCTACAGCACGTCGTTGGAGCTAGCAAAATGTGTCTGAAGCTATCTCTTCATTTCCACGTGTTTCCGCCCATCCCCTGTCCCCTCCCCAATAACGCATTTTTCCGACTGTTTCATGAATAAAAAATGCTACGGTTCAGGGGGCCCTGTTTCCCACTGTAGTCAGTACACCCTTAAACTTGCGCACAACAAGTAATATTTTGCCCGAGCTGTCCCAACCGCTACCTTTGCAATCCGTGGTCGGTGTCTCGAGATAGCACACCGTTTGTGCATATATATATATGTCACATGGACGCATCCCCGGGAGGCGTCGTCATTTTTGCTTTTCTTTGGGCAACAAACTACACGCACGCAAGAAGAAACCACGACGNAAATATATATATCACATGGACGCATCCCCGGGAGGCGTCGTCATTTTTGCTTTTCTCTGGGCAACAAACTACACGACGCACTCACTGCCGTGCTGCACACATTGCTGCTGCTACTGGCAAGACACGTACCACTACACACAGAGACAAGGGACATGGACAAGGGGGGCGGGACACACACACATACTGCTGTTACCGACGGCGGAGGAAGCGGGGAACGTTTGGTTGGCCTGGGGTTCATCGCTGATGTTGTTGTTGTTGTTCTCTCCGTTGTTTGTTGTTGTTCAACGCTGCCGGCCTTTTTTCCGCCTTTTTTTCTCTGGAGAGAGAGGGAGTCCCACCAACCAGCGTGTGTTGCACACACCACACAGCGAGAGCGGGACGGGAGCAGGGTGTGCCCTATACTACTGCTGCTGCTAGCTTTCGGCGGAGGAAGCGAGAGGAGAGATATTGATTGGGTCTCTGTGGGTCCATCGGTTGGTTGTTGTTATTGTGTTGCGACGCGGCGGGAGGGAGCGGCCTCTGCTCTGAAGAGAGGCACACATGTACATCATAGCACGCACGG